AAGACGCCCGTCACGGATTGAGGGAGGTCCCAGGTTCGAATCCTGGCTGGGGTAATATTTTTCGCAATAAGAATTTTAATTGCCAGATACGGTCAATAAAAATCACTGATGTTACCAATTACTTTTGTTCGCTATCACGCTGATGCATCAAGTCGAGATCTAGTGGGACCAGATTCACGATCGAGTATCATCCTCGCTATAATTTCCAGGACGCAACAATATACATATATCGCTGTGCGGAAATGACTCCTGGCGTCTTACGTTACCTCGCCGTGCGGCACGTTAACGCAGGGTAGTGCCGATTGACGTAAACAAATGCATCAAGGGGTTGCGGACCGAGACGAGACGCTACCGCGTCGCGCATTTACACACAGGACTGTGTGTTTCTGCATTTAAAGGAAGCGTGAGCTGGAGAGCGAGAGAGCGAATACGCGGGGGGTTGTTTGGTGGTGTCTCCCCGAGACGATCATTATTGGCAAAGTGAAACTGGGACAGCGCCGCCCGCTCGAGCGACGTGATAGGAGCATTGTGCTTATTGTTCGCAAATAGAATCGCGCGCGGTGACGAGGCGCGTGGCGCCGAGATAACGAGACGAAGGGCGGCGATGTCTTTCCGTACGCAAGACGGTCTTGAGTCTCGCGGCGACTATTATTCCGGCCAGGTGTGCCGAGATAAAGTCGCCACTTTGAAAAACCCCCGTACAGATGTACATCCCTGCGGATAAGGAATTAAACGGCAGATATTCCTCTTTCAGAGACCTCTTTCAGAAGAATCCAGGCGGGACAAAAATCATGATGATGTTAGAGTGACGTTGAAACGGTTCCCATACAGCACAAACTTTGCATTACAGCAATGTTGCAATATTGTAGCAATGTTATTGCAATGGAACCACAGTATATAACCAGTATGCCCACTCTCTGTCGGCACCTTTGATCTGGGCGTTCTCAATTTTCCGCCATGTTTTTATTCGCGCCAACAGTGTATCAACGGCTAAAAGTGCCTGGGCCCTTTTCAGGATCGTATCTAGGAAAGGTGCATACAAACTGGCGTACATTATTTATTGTAAATGGAAATGGCCTATGAAAAAAATGTTCTAATAAAAGTAATTAATGTAATTACTTGCTCCAACGTATAAAAGTATTTACGCGTTATTCGTCAACACTGCGAATTTTTCTATGTCACACCGACTTTGCACTAACACACGTACAAAAACCCTGTGATTGGTCATAATAAAAACATGTCGGATGCGCAGTACGGATCGGCGCGAACGTGAAACAAAAGAGCGAGTGGGCATACTGGTTATACTGTGATGTAACTGCAAGTTTTTTGCTGTACGGGTTTTAAAGTGAATATTAAAAGTCATTTTTATCGCCTCTTTAACGTCATCGTGACTCTTAGCTCCACTTGAGAAGCAAAAATTGATTCAATAACTGTATAATAGAGATTTGCATATCCCATATGCGAATGACTGCGTTCTCAAGACGAATCTATGCATGTGAAACTAACTTAAGGGGATGCTGGAGTCTGTTTGTTTTACCGACAACGCGAAAGTTATGTGTGTGTGCGTATATGTATATTACATAAAAAAGAAAGA